GTGTCATGTTTTAAATTTGTGTGTTGAACAAGAATTATAAGCTATGGGGGGTTGAGCAATATTAGGGATTTAGGGGTGGGTTAAGAAAGATTTGGGCTAGTCGTATTAATTCGAAGGCATGGAAGACTTATTGTAAATTTAGGAATAGAAAACCAATAACATTTGCTAAAGATATTACGATTAGATAGAATAGTACATATAAGTTGAGTGCACAGATTCTGAGCTACAAAGAGAACTTGCTTCATATCTTAGGTTTGAAATTCATTATATGGTTAATTTGAGTGAATTTGTTATTGTTGAAAAATTGAATCCCGTGTTAGAAATATTTTATAATGCAACTCTTACTTTCTTGCATGTTTACAAACCTACGAAAAACAGATTTTTTTCTGAGTGTATTACAAATTTACAATTGCAACATATTTTCATAAAAGCTTATCTGATCAGGAGTTGTACCCCTATGTCATTCCTATTAAAGATAAATAGTGTGCTTATTATTTGCATATTCCTGATATTTATAAAAGTGGTATTATTTGTGATCCTTGCTTTAAGATTAATAATTTTAAAATTCTGATGGAGTATTACTGCAATTGTTTTTTAGATGAAAATAATTATTTATACAATCATTTAATATAATGGACAAAAGATAGAGACAATGTTATTGATCATTTTGAGTCATTATCTAAAGAATTTCAAGCGATTTACGGTAATGCACCGGAAGAAACATCACCTCCTCCGCCTCCCAAACCAAAAAAAGGTTTTAAAGAGATAGTTCGGTGGCCTCTTGGCAAAAAGGGAAACGTAGTTCTGCCTCGACGAGTTCAGGTGGTACAACTGTAAATTCGCACAATGAACTTGTTATGTATCAAGGGGTGTCATGCGGTTACAACGAAGACAATGATATCGTTTGGTGGAAGAGGAACGAACACATGTTCCTGTCTCTCGGAATGCTAGCCAGACAAGTGTCATCCGTGCCAGTTTCAACCGTAGCTGTGGAACAAGAATTCATTTCTAGCGGCAACAATCTAATCGACAAACGAAGTTGTCTTAATGTTGAATCGCTTGAGATACTTGTTTGCAACCGCGATTGGCTCTTGGCAAGACGTCGAGCTCAAGAGTCACGGTACGATATTGATACGGAAAATTACATGAATGGGAACCATAGAGGAAAGCCCTAGTTCTGAGAAATAAGTGAATAACTTTTTTATTTAATTGTAATTAGTTTTTTAGGTAAGCGATATATAAGCTAGAAATCACCCTAAATAAGACTAAAACATAGAAAAAGCATCAAAACAAGAGTTCCATATTTTATTTCACGAAATAGGATTTCGCATAGTGGTAATGTGGCATTGTACATGTGCACATTCTTGTACTTTTTGGTAATGTACATGACCATGTTTGTGTTAGTCGGTTTAGTCGTTGTGCCCACGCCTTAGAGGGGGGTGAATAAGGCGTTTAAAAACTTTTCGGAGTTTAATAAAAACGGTGTTGGCAAATGCGGAAGCAATAAATAAAACGCAAAAATAAAAGCGTAAATAAAATGCACACCGAATTTATACTGGTTTGGGAAACCCCTACTCCAGTACCTCGAGGCTCCTCCTCAAGGATTTCCGAATCCACTAAGTCTCGGCCTCTTGAACTCCGTCAAAGCACCGCACTAGTTTTGGCAAACAACCCTTGCCAATAGGATTCACTCCGAGATTTCACAACGGCTATCTCGAACCGTTTCCAACAAAGATTTAACGGCTATCTTCTACCGTTCCCCCAAGGATTTCAAAGGCTATCCTTGAACCTTTACCCAAGGATTTATACGGCTATCCTTAACCGTTACAACGTGAGAATTTGACGGCTATTCTCGACCGTAAGAAGATGTGTTTGAAGAACACAAAAGTAGATTCTACACAACGGCTAGAATATTAAAATGAAGAACAAAACTTAGCCGGTGTAGAAAGAAAGTATACTCTCTCAAAAATACAATTCAAACTTATGAATATGAGAGTATATAACTAGAAACACAAGCTCAAAGTGTGTGTATAAAAATCAGGAAGTTAAGGCTCTTGAAATAGCCAAAATATTGAAAATAATTAATAAAAGAATGAACACACTTAGAATATAAAGGGAGAATGTTTAGAGCTTTGTTTCTTGAAGAAATATGAAGGAATAGGCTTGTATTTATAGTGGAAGATGTTAATTAGCCGTTGGGAGGTGATTAGGGTTGATTTAATTCAAATTGGCAATTTTGCTACAGTGCTGTAACGGATCCGGTACCCTTCACGGTAGGGGGGTCCGTGTCATCCGGTACCTAGGTACCGTGACACGGTACGGCCTACCGTGTGGGAGTACCGTGTCTTCCAAAAGTTTAGTTCGCCTCTGGCGGTACCTGGTTAGGACGGGTTCGGCCAACCGTCTACGCCTACCGTCGGTACCTAGGTACCGTTACACGGTATGGGGGTACCGTGTAGGCGGTATACCCTACCGTGTGGCGTACAGCTAGGGGTACCGTGACTCTGTTCTGATTTTTCCAAAATTCCCTTAATCCTTCGTGTTTGAGTTTAAAACCTTTTAGATATTTGAAAATGTTTATGTGATGGTTTTAAACATATTTTGTGAGTGCTTTTGAGCTTGTGAATATAGGTATATAAAGTCATAACCTTACATTGGTTTCTACCTATATTCTACGCTAGTTTTAGTGTTTCGACTTCATTCTTGAGTACCGAATCTTAATGGATTCTTGTTTTCCTGAAATACTTAAACAAACGTTAAGCTCTTATATTGTTTGTTAACATCAAAACATGAGGCTTAGCAAACCAAGGCTAACAGTTTGGTAATGTAAATTCATTTTAACTTCTATTTTGGGAATAAAACATGGAAGTCCTATTTTGGTATATTTTCAATATCTTTTTTCCTATATAAGCTCTTTCGAAAGTTTCTTTACAATTCTTTACCTCATCGCTTTTTTTGAACCATCAGGATATATATATATATATATATATATATATATATATATATGAATCTGAATTCGTATTTGACGGATAATTTTCAATTTTAGATATATCCGAATCTGATTAAATATCTAAAACCGGTCAAGTACCCAAATACGACCGAATATCAATGTGTTCAGACCTGATGTAGGATGGGGTAGAGGGATTCGAACCCAATACATGTGACCTTTAAATTTAATGTTGTAGCCGTCTAAGGAAAATCAATTGTTTGGTATTAGTGAGTAGTATATAATATAATAATATATATTTATTTCTTAATATATGCTGTGTTCTAATATATATATATATATATATATATATATATATATATATATATATATATATATATATATATATATATATATATATAAAATCTACATCTAACTATGATGTTTTATATTTTTAAAATAAACTCATATTATTTATAATTATAGTCATACTTATATCATGTGATAATATTTTATTATGTTTTAAAGTACTTCAAAAAACTTGACACTTTTTATATAAACATAAATATGAATATTTATACCAAGCTATAGGTCATTGAAAGTGAGAAAGGGAAGGCTGAAATCCACAATACTGAATAACATCAAATACGTAAAAAACTATTTTATAAATAAAAAATCCCTGACCAAAAAGTGATTCGAACAAAAATATAAATTCACAATCGACCAAGTACTTTGTGGAAGTAATGAGCCAAGTGTCAATGTATAATGGGCTGGATAAATTTTTACAAATATTAAAAAAATGATTTCAGTATTCGGTTAAACAGATATTCGAATAAATGATTATCTAAACGGATGTATATTCGGATCGAATTTTAAATGGATCAGATATACAATTATCAAATCCATATCCGTTCAGATATCCATATCAGATGTCTTTAATGGGATACAGATAATATTTGTTTAAAACAGATGCAGATTATTCCTGTTTGAATAGATACGGATGCAGACGGTAATCGAATTTTCGGTTATCCATTGACAACCCTAGGTGGCGGCACCGGAACCGGACCGGAATCATACCATGTCCACCCCTACCTTGAACATTGGAGTAAAAGTCCACAAGTTGAGTCCAAATAAATTTTTTCGGGATCCTTTGAGTTTTTTCAGTTATTCCTAATTTTTTTAGTTTCTTCACATCTTTCAGTTTTTTCAATTTTTTCTTGTCTCTTCACGTTATTCTAAGTATTCCTATTTTCTTCAATCGTTTTTTACTCCCAAACAATGACTTCAAAAATAATACATTTTTCATGTATTATCATTATTATTACAACTATAGTTTATAATTTTTTTAAAATTTTTTTATTGTTATTTTTAAGAAATTACTCTACATAGGAGTAAAACTTAGAGAAAATACCAAAATACGAGTTCATGTTTTTATTCCTTAAATTAAATTTCGCATTGTGGTAATGTGTCACTATATATTAAAAGTTTATTATATTTTTGGTAATGTACATGGTTATGATTGATATCGTAAATATAATTTAACTCCTATTTCAAAATTAAAAACATAGAATTCTTATTGTTGGTATATTTTCAACGTTTTTATTTCTACGCTAGTCCCTTTCCCTTTATTTTTCTCACGTCATTATATTCTGATTCACACTAATTATTATTTTTTCTTCTATTTTTAATATGAATAATACTTAGTAAAATTCATTGGGAGAATTATTTTTTTTAATTTACATGACACTAAACTATATTCTAATAATTATGGATATTTTATTAAACTAAATTGACATGGGAAAAAATATTAGTATTTTAAATTAAAAAATAATAATTCTACTAGTTCTATATCCCTAACTAAATAATATTTTTATAATTCACGTGATCAAAATTTTTTTCATTTTTTACCTATTATAAGTATAATAATAATAACAATAACTATAACAATTATAATAAGAATACAATGTAAAATATACATAAATAAATTTTTGAATTTTGTTCAATTTTTTAATTACTTCCATTTTTTCAGTTTTTTCTTTTTTTTTTTCCAACAAGGATTAACCCTAGCGAGTTGTCGACGTCGCCCAACGACCATTGCCCCCGACGCCGATCGTCTCTCCCATCGCCTACTACAGAGCTGTGTCGTCCCACGCCAGGCCGCCACCACCGTGAACAGGTAGTCAGGTATGCTTCTTCTGTTCTTCTAAGTTCTAACCTCCATCTGCAATTAACTTTTTTTGGATTCGAAACTGAACCTGTCGATAATATACATTTGAATCCACAAAATGAATTATTTTAGATCTTTTTTTAAGAGAATGATTTTAGATTATTGATTACATAATTACTGATGATTTTTTTTAATTCTTATAGAAAATCCAATTAAAAGTTATATAGATTACTGGTTAGAAACCCCGATTATCTAGACTGGTGGACGATTGGACGGTCTAAATTATCTAAGTAATGGTAAACTACCTTGTAATTTGTATGGGTAAGTCAGGTCTTTCGATCTTTTACTGTTACGAATCATCTGTTCACAACTTGCCCAGCCTGAAGAATGAAGTGAATTAAATCTACTTCTAATGTTAAAACATGTGGAAAGATCTTCTCCAACTATGGAGTATATTCACTAAGTGCATTTTTAATGTTGGTTGCTTAAGAGTTGCTTAGGAATATATTTTATTAAAAAATGCTTAGGTGGCTTATGACATGGAACCACAATTGCCTTAATTCGTTAGAGGGTTGCTTAGTAGCATGTTGATAATAAAAAATAGCTAAGAACTCTATTTGCAGTTAGGAATACTGTCAAAAATGGTATTTTCATATTAAAACTGAGTCAAAAGAGTTGCTCCAAAATAAATTGACCTAGATGCTTGACATACTAGTCACACTCAATCGTTCTGGAAATTGAAAAAGCTCCTACTATGCTAATTTATTTGGATAACAAGTTATTGTTTCTAATTCATTTACCTGTGTAGCAAAAATTATGAGGAACAAGGGTCCATTTTCATATCTATCAATTTATCATTATTGAAATTTATTTCATGCCATTTTCAATTTATCTTATCATTTTTATAATGTGCTATGCAAAAAATAAGTGATCAAGTAATCAAAATATACTTTGTTGGTGTGTGTGTGTTTGAGCACGGTCTCTTGAAAACTGTCTCTCCACTTCTTAGTAGGGGTTAGGTCTGCGTACTCACACCCTCCCCAGACTCAACTTTTCATGGTATTTTGCTGGATTTGTTGTTGTAATCAAAATAGGTACATGCTTATTACATCAAAAAGGAAAAACATCAATTACAACATTACCCTAGTGCCTCAAGCCTCCTGCTCATTGCGGGGAGTCGTATGTACGCAGCATGACCCCTATGTTTAAAACATAGAGTGATTGTTTACAGATGACCCATCATGAGTGTTGAAAGTTAGAAAAATATTACTGCGTATAATTGAATGTTAAAAGTATTGATTTTATAGTCATATATAAACCTGAATTTCATAATGAATGTTAGAAGTTTTGATTTCATAGTCATATACTAACCTGAATTTTATAAATAGTTTCCGTATAATTTCCGAACATGCCCTATCTGCATGACACAGAGTAACTAAATTATTAACCATTCCAAATTTTCTTTGTCAGCCTGTTTGTATTTAACCACCCACATTTTGACCTATTTGCATTTTATTTTGCAGATTAGGGAGGATTATTATTTTGCACAAAGAAACCCCAGAGCTAGGAAAATGAACTCTTTGAGAAGCAGATTCTCGACAATCTTCCCTCATACAAACGCAACTCTCAGCACAGTGAGTTGGGAGCTTCAACAATGTCGTGGGATCCGAGTGAAGGTGTACAACAACAACTTGGAGAGAGCATTGGGCGTGATGCAGAGGATGATGCAATCTAGTGGGATTGAGCGACTCATAAAGCGGCCTCAGACTCGCCATATTAAGAACTCTGAGAAGCGGGTACTAGCTAAAAAATCCCTCGAACGTAAGATTCGGTCCCAAGAACTTGCTCGCAAGCTCAAATCCATCCTCGTCAAGCGAGTCAGGTACACGGATATGAACTCTCAGCTTTAACATTGTTAGAGATTTTTAATTAAAAAACTCTTTTTCTTAAATTTTGCTACAGAGTAAAGACTGTTTTTGAGTTATTATTATTGTTGTTATAATAATAATAATACTTATTGTCATTATTTTTTTTTTTTTGTATGGTGATATTTGGTGAGTGTATGTGTTTGTACTTTGTAGACAAATAATCACAATGTACAACAACAACGATGTGCAAACACAATTTGTTTTTAGGTTGAAGATGAAAGTTTTGTAAAGGTGAAATTAAAATCCTAGTATCATGTCTTACAAATGGGCATTGTCCGGTATATTAGTAACTTAATGAAGAGTTAAGTGTATGACTTTGAGTTTGCTTGATGATTCCAGATCTCTTGGGCCAGATGAGTTCGGGCCTTTATATAAGATTCTTTGTCAGGACTAAAATTTATTCCTATTTAGGTTGATTTAGTCACTGGTCTGCAGAATAAATATTTGTTAAGCAAAGCCGATCCAGTGACATGCGACATGTCTAATTAGTAAATAAAATTTAAAACTAATTCAATACAGAGTATTACACAATACACACACACACACAAGTATATATAGAAGTAAATAACATATTGCTCTGTCTCATTTTGGAATGCTCTAGTGGTGTTTAAACATTCTCCCGTTCTGTTTAGGGCACAAATTTTTAGTTGCAACCTAGGAATGTGAGATAAACTTACGTTGCTCAGAGTATTATTAATATTATGATTGGATTAGCAATATGCATGTTATTAGTGTGTTGTGTTTATGAATTAAAAATGCAAAAAGTGCATTAAAAAATGCTATTAGTGAAGAAATAGCAATCAGATTCCAAATGCAGTTATATTCCAACTTCGCCAGCTATCTTTTACTTTTGCAACCTTTTCAGGCTCATTTGGGGTAGTTTTTAGTTTTCAGTGTTCTGTTCTTTGAAAACAAAAACCCAAATTTTGAAAGTCAGAAAAAATTGTTTTCAGTTTTCTGTTAAAAAAATTCAAAATCAACATGATTAGTGTAAGTACTTTTGATTTATTACACAATATATATGTGAATATGTATTTAAAGAATATACTTCATATCTTACATTGATCTTTATATGAAGCCTAATATATCGGAATACACTTCACAATGGTTTATGATTTGCTCATTTTCCAAAAACTTGTTCAATGATATTTTATATCATATATGTTTCTTTGATAAGTGTTATATTGTCTTTGGGATTTATATTCTGTAAGGACTTGTTAAATGAATGTATGGTGCATTAGATTAATTTTGGTTTTTGACTCTCAAAGAATTGCACTTCTCTTCTGCCAGATTAGATGCATAGACTATTATTTATGCTCTGATTTTATACTTTTACACAAGGATGTTATGACCTCCACTTTGTTGCAATTTACTACCATGTGTACTAATCTCTGTTCGAAATTACACCTCTCCACTCTTTCTCTGCTGAAATACGATATCTTAGAGCTTCTAAAACAATACATTTTCTGCAATTTGACAAAGAAAGAGTGAAGGTGTTTTTTATGCTTTAAAATATACTCACTATGCCTGGATTCAGTTGTCAATTGTCTTATTTTTGTTGTCCAGAATTGGTTGTCCACTTTTGATATGCAATAAAAAAATCAGGTTGAATTGTCTCAGATATCCGAGAGATAAGTAAGAACATTGTTGATATAAATGAGTTACAAACTCACTTGAAGGACTTATTTGGCATTTTAGGCTCACTTTTTGAAATGAGGTGCTTTAAAAAAGTGGACAACTAAATCCGGTTGGAGGGAGTATATTCAACTCCAAAAAATGTTTGTTTAGCCAATATTAAGGTTCCGCTGAATCTATTCAATATTTGATATTTTATGTATCAAACAAAATATTTTAAGCATTTGTTTTTTAAATGTACTCCCTCCACTGCTCGAATAGTTTCACACTTTGACTTCACTTAGTTTAAGACGAGTGCTCAAAGTATGTAGTTGAAATTTGTTTAGAAGAAAAAAGAACGTTGTGAGCCTTTTATTTCTACCCCACTTAAAAAGAAAAGAAAATAGAAAAGTGTGAAGTTTGTTTTGGAACGCTCCAATTGGTTTTGGCAGAGCCAAAAAATGCAGGTGGTTAAAATAATTGACCTCTATCTCCATTTACATGTGTTATGCGCTCATGCCAGGAGTAGAGGTAAAGTGTGCGTATATTTTGCTCCTCAAACCTTGTTCTCGAGTCACAATCATACACTCGGTATACTTTGTCTTGTTTGGAACCACTTGGAGTTTGGGTTGCGTAACGCAACCAAATTAAGGTGTTAGGCTGGTGTAGCCATGTGGGAGCCACCACTCAATCACCCAAGTAGAATGAGTTCTCTAATGCATATTGCAATGTATGTGCTTTGATTCAAGCATTCCATGAAGATCAAACCTCCCCCACCCACTTGGGCCAAAAAAAACTTATTCCTCATCATTTCTCTGTTGTGACACTTTTTTTTCTTTTCTTGCAGGGGTCTATGAGAGGAAATGAAAAAAGGTCCTATCTGCACTGATGGTGAGAGTCAAACACTAATTTGCTTGCAGGTTTCAAGGATGGTTTATGAGTAGTTTATGATGCAAAACAGTGGGGAAAAGAAATGTATGTCATCAAATTTGTAATTTGTCATATCCTCAAAAACCTATAGGTTAAGATGCTGCATTTCTAGCATTTAACCTTGAGTATTTTCCTAAACCTCAAGGGTACAATGTTTTTCTTGATTCTTTTGAGTAAATTTTGCGTAGAATAATCCGACATTTTGATTGGTTAATAATAATCTCCTTTATAATAAGTATTTGCTAGGAATAATCCCACTTCTCAAAGTACTTAACACAAGAAGCATCCTAGTTTTGTTAGCTTAATATTAACCACCAATTTCATACACTACATTTCATGCAACTTGAATGTCAATTCTTATAGTTTGTATATGGGATTTGTGTTTGCAATTACTTAGTTTCAAAATGATTTTATTATTTCTTTGTGTGATTTATATCATTTCTCTTCACTGTACATAAACTTCAATCTTATACGGAGGAAAATTTTGGGTCATTTTCAGTATGAATTTCAAACTGGGAGTATTATTCAATGCGCTTTAAAAAAATCTTAATGATTATTTACACCAAATTTAGTTGTACTTACCCTTATACTGAGCATCACCTAATAATCTTAATTTCGTTGTATTGATTGTTCTATTATTTAAAATCACAGTTATTTGAGTTTTATTTACGTCGGCGTATTTTTGAATAATGCTCATGCCAGTTGGTTATTTGGAATAAATAAGTAAAAAGAATACGTTCAAGCAATTTGTAGAATTCAATTTCATTCAAATCAATTGCATAAAACTTAAATTTCGATTCAATTCAAATTCTGTCAATGAAATTTGGAACAAATCCTAATGGAATTTTTCCTTGGGACGGCTAGAGTATTTGTTTCAAACAAATCGAACACACATCCTTGAAAAAAGGCTAGACCATCATCGACACTCCCGATATATAACTTCAGAATTCATACTCTTCATCCCAATACAAATTTTCAATCACCCTACAAAAGATAAAATTTAATTAACATAGAACGTTTTAAATGAATTGGCATATATGGAATACAACTGTTTTAAATCATTAATTGTGCTTTAGTTTCAATTTTTTGGTTTTTATTTAACAAATATACTTCATCTTTCTCAAAATAAAGTTCACAATTCTCTTTTTTAAATGTTTCAAAATAAATTTTAAACTTTATTTACATTACTTTTGTACGGAGTATTAAAGAAATACGTGGTTCGCTACATTTCTCTTGTTTTCAAACCTATTTTAAGGATACACTTTTCTTAAACTCTATGAAGTCAACACGTAAGCATCATTTTGGAACGATGGAGTATAAGTTCTAGTCTATTTTGCAAAATGCAGAAAGAGTTTCATTTTATCAAACATCACTCTTTATTTAACAAAAGAGAAAGAGTTGAGAAGTATTTCAAAATTTCACATATACACCAAAAATAGAAATGAGACTTTAATGACACCAATTATATAATGCACACACATGCAATAGAAATTCAATCCAAAAAGAGAAAATCAGCAGCGAAATTATTTGTTTTTATTCATCACGAGTTCTCTGGAGCTAAACCTGCCTGAATTCTACCATCAAACATGGTGTACATAGATGTTTCCTTATTTGAAAATGATGATGCTAGAGGCTGTAGAGATACATCTCAATGATGTATATAAGCTTAAGTGCTAGAAGAACACTAATGTCTACCTACAAATATGGAAAAAGAATGAAGCAATGGGAATCCAATTTGGGCGGGCGTATGTACAGAGAAATAAACCGCCTATTACGGTACAATGGGAGTCGCGGGAGGGGGGGGGGGTACTTGGCTAGACACTACTATTACATTCTTGTTAAGAGCGTTGGTCCTTCATAACAACCTTAACACTGCTATAGAAGCGCTTCAGTTCCTTTATTGCCCTTTCCTCTATCTGGATTGAACGGATAGGCGAAGGCGCCTGGATTTCTGGCTTGAACCAGCGGTTCAAACCGCTGTTAGAGTCCGATGGTGACCCGCTCGTCATAAGAGAGGAGGATCCTGCAGTTGTTGGGCTTTTAGATTGGCCGTGCTGGTAGTGTCTCTTCCCCTGTAAATAAGATAGACAGGCAGACACACAAAGGATGATAAAAGGCTTATAACCATGATAAATGCAGGGGCCTCTAGCCATGTAGAAGAGTGTGCTTTTGCATACCTGCTGCTGAGATTGTATGTCCCTGAGAGAGGGGCGTGAAAGAGGAGAGCCGCTTCCGGCAGATGTGGTGGCAGCCCAGGGAAGAAGAGTGTTGTTCCTTTCTTCATCTGGTGGGGCCCTTGATTGTGTTGTTAATGTTCTTGGAGAAGAAGAAGAAGCATTAACTGGTACCGGATTAGATGATAAAAACACGCTTAATTGTTTCTTCCTCCCTCTACCAATGACGCCATCCCCCTCCAGCTGCTGCTGCTGCCCTTGGCTGCCCTTCTTAACTTGCTGTGTTTCCTTTACTTTGTTCTGTTCATTCTGTATTTCACGAAGAGATGCAGACAACCCTTTCCCTATCTTTGCACCTCCCCAAGCCGGGCCTTCCACTTTTGGAGATACTAGTGGAACCACCTCGACTTTAGGAACATCGTCAAGACCGCCACTCAAAAACATAGAGAGTCCACCTTTTCTATTCTTCTTCTTATTTAGCTTATTAGGTGACGGTTTTGCACTTTTCTGGGAGCAACCAAAATCTTCTTTCTTTAATGAGGAAGGAGATTTGTTTGAATCTTGGTCAACCCCATCTGCTTCCAAATGCTCGACCTCCTACCAGTTGCAAAAATATATAAATACAACTGCTATGATAATACTGTAAGAGATAACGGTCCATAATTATATTCAACAGTAAGCTCAAAGGCATTCATAAATATGCAAGCAACCATAATTTGCTTTATTTTAGCTGAATGCTCCATGACACCACTTTCCTTTACAGTTTACACATGGGATTTTATTTGAAGAAACAATCAGATGACAGACTGGTAAAAGGTAGTCGCTTTCCCCACACGCAGACATATACACACACACACACACACACACACATATAATATATATATATATATATATATATATATATATATTACAAACGGAGCACCGTAGGTACCCCAAACGAACTGGTGTAAGCAAATGACACCAATACCACTGGTGTCATTTTAGACTTACCGTATGTATATATATATATATATATATATATATATATATCCACCAATTTTCTGTCATCAAAATATATAATAATAATAAGGGTGTTGCTAAATCCACTCCCCTAAATGACTATATCCACGCCTTTCACCAACTTTTTGCTAAATCCACACCAATATGAAAGTTATATTAATAGTTGTGGATTTAGAAAAATTAGGTGAAAGGTGTGGATATAGCCATTTAGGAGAGTGGATTTAGCAACACCCTAATAATAATAATAATAATAATAATAATAATAATAATAATAATAATAATAATAATAATAATAATAATACTAATACTAATAATAATATAACAACAACAACAACAACAAAACAACCCCCCACCCACCCACCCAATTTGAATGGGACTACATATAACATTCCAAATCACACGCAAGTGTGATTATAGCAAAACTCTATGGCTTCTCTTTCCCACGAGGCCACAAATGTTAACAGTGTCTGTACAGATGTAATAAGAATACTATATTTGTTCTTAAAAAAAACTGACCTTAGTATCAGCTGGTGCAATGCTAACAACTAAGCAACCATTTTCCTGACTTGGCTCAGCAATGGTTTCATGGTTACCATCCTTCAACTCTGACTGGGCATGCTTATGTTTGTTTTTTCTCCTCTTCCTATTGGATGCCTCCAGCTCTTTAGAAGTACTTTGTTTTCCATTGACAGAGATGGTAGTTTGCAACTCTTCGATAGGAATACCAAGCTCAGAAAGTGAATGTTCCAAAGAAAACTTTGTTTGAAGCTTAGCAATTTGTTGGGCATCAAGGGTCTGCCCCTTGGACTGCTTCACTTCAAGCATCTCAATCTGCTGCAGCTTTTTTCTCAACGCTCGGACCTGCTTTGAAACCCATTCTTTGTCCTCACAAGACTGCATAAAGTTGTCTAACTGTCTATCACCCTGTTCTCTACAATTTGATGCCTTCTTTTTCTTCCTACAGTCACGCGTTCTCAGAGATTCATTATCACTACTCTCTTCTCCATCGCTGTATAATATGACCGGGAAGGGTGCCGTAGGGGTAGGAAGCCGATGATTACTCCATGGTTCGGATGACTTCAAGTCCAATAATTTCTCTAGCCTGACAAGGATATCCAAAGATATATTGCCAATCGCTTGTCCTGAGACTACAAGGATATAATCAAGGTTCCGAGTAACAATATCCTGCACCAAGTTTCACACGCCATCTCAGATAAGAACTATTCATGATAGTTAGCCATAACAATGATCGTACATAGAAAGTTGGCATAGTCCAAATACAGAAAACATATGAGTTTAATCATGTACTATCATGAACACATCTGTGTACTTGTGTGGGGTGCTGAATCTATATTACAAGAAAGAATATATCGCTGTAAAGTAGGCATTCATTGTCTGTAATGTAAATTGGGTCTAACTCACCAAAAAAAGAATGTCAAGAGATGAAATTTGTCATACTTTTCTAACCATCTTTTGTATTCGATACTTGAGGAAAAATAGTTTTAGCTTTTGTATTTCAAAAAATATTATATATACACTTTCTGCTCTGGTCTGTGTAAGGAAATTAGGAAAATATTCAATAAAATTAAAAAAACTTTCTTCGGCTCAAACATTTGATTCAGATATTATTAATTTATTTTCCTAGTCCATTTAGTTTCTATGGCCTCTACCAGACTGTATTGTGTTATGTGGCAATCCATGCATCACAAATTGTTCCCTACACATTAGTCATAACAGACGTGAAAACAACTTTAAAAAGAGGCTAAGATAAGTAATTTCAATGATATCAAATATCAGTTTAATTCAGGACTAAGATAGCTCGTCTCAAACCACAAGCCTTGCATATACAGGCTGACAAGCCAAAGCCTTGTCGTTTAAACATGATGTTATTCAACCATTTTCCGAAAAAAAGAAGAACAGATTGACCCGGACAACTTGCTATGGTCTTAGGCAGCCTTTAGCCGGTCTCGCCTAGAGTTACAGCAAATTGTGAATAATCCAGCTCCATTATCCCAACCAATTACTCATATCCATAGTTTGTAAGGCGTCGCCTAGGCGATAAGGCAATGTCACTTGGACGCCTTGTCTGCTCGCCTTGCCTAAAAAACCTTAAGGCAATCAGGCGTCGCCTTACCTCGCCTTATCTCGCCTTGACGCCTCTGGCCACTTTAAACTTTTGAGAAACCCATTTTTTAGTGCAGCCCAATTATTTTGAAAGCCTAATTCAAAATGTTTAAAAAGATTTGACTTAAACTGATCTTCTCTCTCTCGGTCTTCTCTGTCCCGATCAGGCTCCCTTAAAATGTATAAAACCTATATATATCTACATACATACATATATATACACACATACACACACACACACACATATCTGTGTGTGTGTCGCCTAGTCGTCGCCTAGGCGTGCGCCTAGTCACCTAGGCGATATGAAGATGACAACAAAAGAGGTTACATCACAAAAGAGGTTACGTCACCTATGCTCATATCATCTTCAAGTTAGATTTTTCTCACAAAAGAGGTTACATCAAGATGACAACAAGACATAGCATTACAAAGGCTAGAGCAATTGTAACATTACGAGATTATGAGCTGTTGATCGAGTTGGATGCCTAATTGATTAGTGGGAACCTAATCTCTTGAAAGAGTAACAAACAAGATGTGGTTGTCAAATCAAGAGTTGAAGAAGAATATTGTACAATGGCACTTGGAACATTGAGATCATGCGGTTGAAACATGTTCAAGAATTCAAGTATGGAGCATATAGCCAAAATGAATTAAGTGTGATATTCATGCAGCAATGCACATTGCGTCAAATGCAATATACCATAACAGAACAGAATAGAACATGTTGATGTTTGTCACTTTATCCTAGAACATATTATATCAGGAAACATTGTCACAGGGTATGTCAACTTCACAAAATCACTAAGGAGCCGTTTGGATTGTGATTATAAATTATGACTCAAAAGAATGGACTCTGAGCATGATTTAAAATTAGTGATTTGAAGTGATTGAGTTCACAAAAGCTGTTCAAACTGTGATGATTATGCATCATTGATATCTTGCCTTGACTCACCTTTTGTGTGTGTATGTGAGAGAGAGAGAGAGAACAGGGTGGAAGTGTGGGACCCATAGGAGTGAGGAAGTGGGAGGATGGGAGTGGATGGGGAGGGGTGATGAGGAAGAGGGTGAGAGTGGAGAGGGGATGGAGCCTGGGGGGAAGAGGAAGGGTGGGGGGGTTTGATGGTGAGGGATTTGGCGCCATTTGGGAGTGGAGAATGGGGGAAAGGAAGATGGGGGAGTGGGGTGGGCAGAGGAACAGGAGCGGGTGGGATTGGAGGTATGAGAAGCATGGAATGGATGTAGGAGAGGGGGTCTGGCATAGGAGAGTGGGATGCGCTGGAGAAGAAGGTTGATGATGAGGGAGGTCACGGGCACAGAGAAACTAAACCTCGATTATTTGACATCAGGTGATTGTACATGTCATGTTGCAAACAAACATCAAGTTCAAAACATAGACTTGAAATTAAAGTACAACAAACCCAGTAAAATCCCACAAAAAGTAAGGTCTGGGGAGGGTGTGTGTATGCAGTGCACCTTACCCCTACTCAAAAATAGAGATGTTGTTTCAAAGAGACCCCCCCCCCCAAGCAAAAGCACAGTCAACGCAAATCAACAAACAGAAAGGATACAAAGCACACACAAAGAGACGTGATGCTTGTGATTTATACCACCTTAATGGGAGTGCATAATAGCCATAAAGGTTGAATTCGGCAATATGGCATTATCATAAAGGTGTTTGATTTACGAGAATACAAACCTTCTACGATGTACATATTTTCATTTAATCATCAGAAAATTCACTCCTAACTACATAAAATAGCAACACAACTAGCCCTGATGTTTTGTTACAATGGGAGTAATAAATAGTGTTTCCAAATATAAAAGAATATGACAGTGGAAGTAATAAAGATGTTTTAAAATAATAAATATTAGAAAAACATATTTAAGAATGATCACTACATTACCTCACAATGTTTCCTTAACTCATCAGCCCCTAAGGAGTCCGCAATTTCCAGTACTTGGATAGCTGTTCGTGGCTCCACAAGATGTTGTGCTGCCAATTTCTCACACAAACTCTTTAAGCTTGGCACACTCTTATTTTCATCCTCCTTTTTTACTGGAGACAAGACTTCATCTGGCTCATTATCATCAAACATAAAGCCTTCATCAAGCTCATCAATTTCACATTTTAACTTGGGCTTGAGCTTTTGCGGATCATCCATAGCATGAGACATATAGAGAGGATGATACAGAGAACTTATTATCAATAAATGAGTCTCTCCAACAGACACGGCACTAGCTTTTTTCACTCCATGCAACCGATTCAATGAGTGGGGTATATCTCTTTCTTTCTTTGCATCCCAAAAGTAAATATCACCTGTAACAGTAACTGCAGCAGTCCAATACTTCCCAGCAGAGATACTGACAATGTCTTTCCCACAGAGTGGATATAACTGCATGAAAAATGTGCAGAAATCTGAGAAAAAAGAGTAAATAGATTAAGCAGTTTCAAAAGAATATCTAGTCTAGTATAGGATAAACAGAACCTGCAGAGATTGAAAATCAGGATCGGCTGACACCCAATAAAACAAAGCACCATCATCTGTCAAGGCCACACTATGTGTTGTACCAGCAGCAATGGCTACAACATGTTTACGATGAACCTTCAAAGAAGTGCTCCCAACTTTTTTTGTGTTTTTGCCGATGATAACACGTTTTGGAGAGACCAAACGGTGGCCCCAAGTAAAAACCTGTCGTTTATGACTTATGAGGCATATACAATTCACTGAGACAATGTAAAAATTTATAGAAACCGTGTAGAACAAGTAAATGGTTTGGTATGGCATACCTCCCCATCTGATCCCAATACAATTGTGTGATACTTAGCTGCGGCAACACCAGTGAAAAATTTTCCCTTCAAATATTCAACAACTCTTGGAGTATAGTTGGAAGCTGAGTTAGATGTACCATACCCAAGCTGACCCTCTTTATTGCAACCCCAAGTAAACACTTCACCACTGTCAGTGACTACAGCAGTGTGCTTGTTTGCAGCAGCAACCGCAACTACTGCCGACCTTAGAGAATTCACTCTCCGAGGTGTGGGCTGAGTATCAACAGAGGTATAGCCAAGTTGGCCCTCTGCACATTAGTTTTGAAAGGAGATAATTCTATCATTAAAGCAAAGCTGACTAAGGTGTGGATTCATTAACTGCCATGTAGAAACCATTTCCATTCTTCCTTCTTAATAATTAGGTTTATATTGATAGTTTAGCCAAAAACTATGAGCAATGTCTAATGTGTACAGTGTCAAACAACACTTGGGATGCACTAGAAAGTTAAAAGAAAATGCTAAAACAATAATCTGGTTATCGGACAAAGGAGCTTAAACTTTATAGGCACTCTGATAGAGTTATATATTGCATAGGCTATATCCCTCAAAATCCCCAGTGTAGGAACCTTGTGGCTAAAATAAAATGAAAAAAAAAATAGATGATGATCTTTATTGTCTATTCGAATGCAATCCATAACTACTCAATAAAGAACAAATATTACCTCTATTAGAACCCCCATCCATAACTACTCAATAAAGTATTTGAAAAGAAAATCCAAAACGTGAAGCCGAGCATGTACGCAGAGGAGAGGATTTTATCCCGGCCGCTGCAGCAGCGACGGCGGCGGCGGCGCCAGCGCTGATCGAAATCACAGCACAGCAGCAGCGTTATTGCCATACGTTATGTGGAGCTGCCACATGCGCACCTCTCTGCATGACAACCCCTAATACTCTTCTGCCACGCATCTCTCCCTCCACACCTCCTCCTATCCCCGTCATCCTATTTATTTACTTTTATTTTTTATCATCTTTATTTAATTATATACTCCCTCCGTTTGAAAAAACTCTTCCCATTTTGACTTGGGACAAAAATAAGGAAGTGTTAAATTATAGTTGATTTCCAATTTTGCCCCTGATGTGATGGGTAAAAGTAAGATGCGATGGATAGATTATTAGAGAAAAAGTATGATGTGATAGGTAGGGTATGAAAAAGTAAGGGTAAAAGTGGTTTTTTAATAGAAAAGGGAAATGTTTTGTTGGAAGTGGAAAAAATGAAAGAGGAAGTGTTTTTGAGAATGGAGGGAAGTATATACATATCTCTTATTAGCTTATTTATTTATTTATATATATATATACACACACTATTCTTTCTTCTCCTTTCTTCACCCACTCCATATATTCCCATCCATCTTCTTCTTCTTTTTGATTATCATTATTAATATTACGTCATATATATTTTTGTGAGTTATAACTTATAAGTATGGGGAGCGTTTGTGCAGATGATTCCATGTTTCAACGCACCTCCCACCCAAAATCCCCAGTGTAGGAACCTTGTGGCTAAAATAAAATGAAAAGAAAATAGATGATGATCTTTATTGTCTATTCGAATGCAATCCATAACTACTCAATAAAGAACAAATATTACCTCTATTAGAACCCCCATCCATAACTACTCAATAAAGAATAAATATTACCTCTATTAGAACCTGCAGGCTGCATCCATAACTATTCAATAAAGAATAAATATTACCTCTATTAGAACCCCATGTAAAAACCTCTCCAGTCTCTGTTGCAACAACAGTGTGATGCTTGGCTGCAGCAACTGCCGTGACATGACGTGCCCCTAAACCAGAAATTACTTGGCGTGGAGTGATGACAGCAGCTTGACCACTGCAAACACATAAAATAGATATCATGAATTTAAAATATGTTCAAATATTCTCATTCACTTCACTCTGGGTAAGTGGTCTTATAGAAAGGAAGACTGTTTCATAGCATGGACACTGATGAAAATAGCTAAACACACTCAGAAAGTGCCGACCTTTAAGGCTTTACTGGCAAACATATGAATCATACCACATACATGCACAAAAGCTTTGTTAAAGTGGGTATAGTAAAATTGTAGCAGATGAAAATGCTGATAAAAATGTACTCCATATATAATAGTTTAATACTCCGTATTTGTTACACATTTTTCCATGCACTATTGCAAGAGTGTTTTTTGTTCAAGCACTCACATTTGGAGACATAGGATACAGGAGAACTGCACATCTTAGGCTGACATGCTCCAATATTCTCAAAGGCAAGTTTAACAAAAAAAGAATATAACTAGGAGTGACTCCTCTCACATAGCCACTTACCTGTGTATATCGAAGTCAGGGTGGCCAAGACGGCCACCCCTTCCAAAACCCCAAGTATAGACTTCTCCACGAGAAGTGACTGCAACACTGTGAAACTTTGCTGCAGAGACTAATTTAACCACAGAGCCACGGAGGGAATCAACTTTGCAGGGCAACTTCTGAATGTGGGCATTTCCTGTTCCTAGCTGATAATTCACTCCACTGCCCCAGCTAAAGACTTCTGTGGCCACTGAACACACATGAAAGCATGCAAAGAAATTGGTTTTTTTCATCTGTAAAACTAGTGAAAAATGGATGCCACATAAATCTACAAGCAACCTGAATTGTTTTTCTCAACAGGTCCCGATAATAGATCAATAGGTGTTCTAGATTTCGAGTCTTCCAGAGTGATAGAAGCACCGGATTGGAGAAGGATACTAGCAACTGCAAGATGTCCAAAATGCAGTGCTCGATGAAGACAACTCCAGCCTGATTCTCCATCCTTAGAAAAATAAATTTTAGATTTAAAATATTGAATAAAGCCACTAGAACCATTTTAGGGAACCAGAAAAAAAACATATTGCTCAAAAGAATAATCCTCTGTGTTTTCCAACTGAACACAAGCTTTTAGCCATGAGCTCAGATTGCACCATGTCTAATACGGAATCATGTGCTATATCATTACATGCAATGGTACATCTACAATCATTATAAATAAGCAATTTGTCTTTTTTAACAGAACCTTCAAGCTCCTCACAGCAACATGGTTTGTCCTAATCTATGAGTCACTTTGTATAACCTTTAACCAAAAGTACTAATTACTCATTTTAATCATATGGACATCATTGAAGTACCAAAAGTAAAACATTTCAAACACTACCAAAACGTAAAACTGCACCAGGACATACCAAATAGATTCATTTAACACATACTCATCAACCATCTATATAAATATGACAATGAAAGAATGGTTCTTTAAGAGACAACAGAACTAAAATTCAGAAAAAGAAGAGTTACATCACTTACCATGGCATTTGATGGCTAATAAATCAAAGTAACAATGCAGCATGACCCTTAAACCCATAATCAAACTAAAAAATGAGAAGTTTGAAAGAATAACACACCCTAACATTAGGGTCTGCGCCAGCTGCAAGTAGTCTTTTAATTATTGGGATATGATTTCTCCAGGTAGCTATGTGAAGAGGTGTAAGCCCAAAAAGATTCCTGGCATTGATATTCCCACCACTCTTCTTTAGAAATGTCAGGCATGAATCAACATCACCAATAGAGCCTTCGCGTGCAGCAATCCACAGGTCTTTGCAAGACCCTCTTGATGAGCACTTCCAAGCAGACATTGGTTGTTTTTGGCATGACGGTGAAACCATTTCCTCCATCAGATATAGCAGTTCACCCTCTAGGACTTCCTTACGTTAGCCTCAATTCAACCACTAGTATATATTGAAGTTAGAACTATGACTTTAGCAATAGGAAATTTTGACTGTTGCAGACCAATTTCTTCAGCAATCAAGATGTTTTTGTCCCGTGATGCACTGGAGCAGTGCAAACAAGAGCTGACAACTTGTAGAAGATTGATCTAACTTCATATAAGGGTACAATGCAGGTATGCCAGTTGAAAATCCACAGTAGAATATATCAAGTAACTAACTGCAGCAACTCCAACGGTGTTTTTTTGCCTTTTCAACCTTTTAAGATAAAAAAAAGATTTTATGTTAACCATGCACAAAGAGGCAAGGGATCAACTCATTTACAAAAAAAAGATTCAATAAATAACATTGCAAGCAGACTCTAAACCATAGTTCCAGCAAATCATAATCTGTTTATGGAAATTAGGAATGCTTTTTAGTTCACCATGTCAAATGATCACCTTGGAAAAAAATATAAAAAGAGCAAATTCAGGTTAGCAGTAGATAGAATCAAAGAAAGAACTGAAAGTGAGAGGGGGTCTCATATTTATAATCAACTGCTCCTAATATTTTTGTACAAAAAATACAACATTGAAAAATTCAAGTAGAAAAATTGTTTGTCATTGCAAGCAAACATAATCACGAGTCGAAGAAGTTATTTCATCACTCATTAGTCTATAAGCCTAAATGATAAATTTTCATAACTGAGTTAGATACTGTACACATTTAACCATTCTTCATTCTTCTGCTAAGCTCAGTTTTAATTACAATGCTGGAGCCTCTTTTAAGAAAATGTAAATCACTAGTGCAAACACACCACATGTCAACATCAGTCTATTTTGCATATTCTCTTCTAATAGGTGAATAAATATATACAGGTTCTGTTTGTTGAAGTCTTTTTTGTACAAAATGTATATGCATATGTATGTATACTGTAAAGAGTATTCTCACAAAACAAGTGCATAGTTTTAAACTGTATGACTTAATTACATTAAGGGTCTGTATGGATAAGGACTATTTGGATGAAATGGCTAAATATGCTGCATGTTTTGAAATGCAAAGCTTATGTTACATCCATTTCAGCCAAACTAGGAAGTCAAGAGATACTTATTCTACTTATACTGGTGAACATAATATGTAGAATAAGCCATTATGGCTGCAAAACAGAGCCTGAACTGCAAAGGGCAAAAGCATGTCTTTGACAACAAGGATAAAATAGATTAAAGAAAGAAAAACAGAATCCTTTACTAAAAACTAAAAACCCATACAAAATCCATAGGATATAATTATGGTATCAATTATTTGGCCAAAGAAACTTGCTTTAAATATAGAAATTATATAAAGCATCTAGAAGGCATGCATGCAATGTCTCCAAGGAACTAAATGCACATGATCACACTTCATAAATAAACAAGAAATATGCACAACTAAATGCCATTGCTTGTAAATTGCTATTACTGTGAAGAATATACAACGCAGATTCAATTAGACTGCTCCTTGGGCACAGGTTTCAAAAGATCTGCGCAAAAAAATAGATTCTTTTACCATGAAATCTTCCACCGCTAGAATGCAAAACACAGATCCAAAACCCAGCAAAAGTAAAAATTGAATTTGTTTATTTAAATAAAACAAGATGAAACAGGTACCCCGCCTAAGTAGAATCAAAACATCGTCACACCCATTCTCAATTTTGTTATAAAGAATTGATTTTTATGTGAGACCAATAAAACCCTCCGAAATGAGAAGCAATAGCTTGCGAGAAACAAAATTAAACACGCAAAGATTAAGCAGAACAAACATGATTCCGATATACACGAATACCTTAGATATAAGGCGGAGAAATGGCGTGAGAATCAATATGTAATAAGAAAAGTTCCCAAATTTGAAGTGATCTCTCTCTCTTCTTCACAGAAATACATGAATCTGTTCATGCATACGATCTTCTTCAATCTGTTCTAAATGCTATAACTGTAAAACGAGAGCGAAGCGGAGGTGCGAGGAATATACTCCCTGCGGAACCCACCCCGCGGCCCTAGGAGCAGTAGAGCTCTGTACGGACTTGAGGGGCAAATCGGTGATTTCAGGTGACGTCCTCGTGGTTGAAAATTTGCCCTTTGAACCACTCGTAAATTTTGACCAAAGCAAATGGTAAATTGGTAAACTTGTTTTGACGAGGGGGCGACCCCCGAAAGAAGTGGGTCCGAAGCCTGGTCCAATAGGAGGCTAACATTCAGTTTGTTTAGAGGTAGGGGAGGTACATTTAATACGGAGTATTCTACTTTGTTTGGTAGCAAAAATTGAGATAGGTCAAGAGAGGTATAGAGGTAAGGTTACCTTTCAACAGTATATTTTTAGAGATCGCCAATTTGGCGAAACATCGAGGTAATAAACTATTTTCTGTTGCTACCCTCTCGTTCGTTCAGAAAATCGATCGTCATCTCCTATGGATCGTCATCCAATCGCAGGTAATTTCCGATCTTCCCCTTCCCCTCTGTTTTCGTTTGTTACTTCGTTACTTCTGCTCCCATTTTTTTTGCGACACCCCTTTTTGCGGCACCCATGGTCACCCAATTGTAGGTAATTAAGGATTGGGATCATGACTCTGTTTTTTTCTATAGTTTTTTACTTTACTCCCATTTTTTTCTGTTTTGAGATTGGGTTTGTTGTTGCGGCACCCATGAGTTTTACTCTGCTCCCATTTTTTTATGTTCTTTTTTTGGTGGTTTTTTTCTGTTTTTTGTGCTTTTTCTGGGTTTTTTTTCCTGTTTTTTATATAAGATGACGTTACTTGGAAGTTTTGTCCAAGAGTGATTATTTAATTTTAAAATTTTACATTTAAGATTTAAATAAATTCTGATAAATTGAATAAAATTCTATATAAATATATACTAAACAAATAAAGAAAAACAACCACAAGGATATTTTAGTAATTTTATTCTTTCCAAACCTCACGTTACCTAACAAACATCCAAACACAATTTTTAACACATTACATTACTTTACCTACCTTCAATTACCTACCATTACCTACCTAATAAAACTTTTAGCTACCTCCAACCAAACATAACCTAAAATGCGGTAACATTTCTCCTCTTGTCAATTGTCATGATTTGGGTCTTGATGTTAGGAATGAGTTTGGTTTTAGCGTTTCGCTTTTCTCCCAAAATCAAAGACAAAATAGAAGGTAAGTTGACGGTCGATTTAGTTTTAAACCAAAGAACTAAATAGCAAAGGGAGCAAGAAGAGTAGAAACATATGGATAGCTATTTGTGTAACGACCCGAAAACCGGCTTGGTAGTTAGCCGTAATTTTAATAAAAAAATAAACATAGTATTTATTTACTCTAAAATATGGATTATTGGTAAAGTTATCTGTTTTAGATGAAAATTGGGTTTTCGAATAGATCTCGAGAAATGGTGAACAACGACATATAATTTGTTAAATTTGGACATACGTGTAAAGCGTGGTGAGTAAAATAGACATTACAGTTCAATAAATAAATATAAGGATTTTATAATAAAATAATAATAAATTAATATAATATTCCTAATTCTACCCGTACAAGGTTTCCCAAACCCTCCCCACCACTACTATAATATAAATACATATATACACACAACACCAACACACGCCACACGAAAAGAAAGAGAGCAAACAGAACGGGAAGGAAATAAAACATATACGGAGTGCTGATCGTGAACGAAGAGGAACAGAGCGGAAGAAGAAACGTTGGTCCACCGCCGCTGCTGGGATTCCCGGAACTGAGACTGCCGCCACCGCAGTGACTCCGTTGTCCGTCGCCGACGTCGCTTGGTTGATTGAGAATTTGATTTGTTTTAATTCGTCCAACAATCGAGGTCAGAACTTGCACATCTAACGCTAGATTATGTATATAGATTTGAAATTCACGTTCGTAGTTTCGTATGATTGATTACGTGGTTTATTTGTTACAATTGAATTATGATTTAATTATATTATATGTTATTGTTGGAGTTGATTGAACAAGGATGACCAGGTACGTTTTCTTACTTCGAATTTGTGTGATTTGCATGACGGTAAGTAGAAGGTTACACCTGACACTAGGCCGCTAATTGAGTTGTATGATTTATTGTCTGATTAATGATATATTTATTGTTATGATTAAATATAATCCTGTTGGGTTATGGAAGTAAATAAGGAAGTGAGATTGTTGTTGGAATAAGCTTGAATTATAGAGATGTTGTAAATAAATGATTATGCTACCTAGGGGAACTCTAGGACTGCCTTAGCACAATTGTAAGTATAAATGTCAATAGATAGGATCAGCCCTGCGGATCTGATATCTGGCGGCTGCGGGTTAAAACGTACGTACGGGATCCAAGAACTGTCGTTCCGAAGGGGACAGGGGTACCACCCACCCAGCGGAGAACTTCTTCATTGGTCATCAGGTTGTGTTGTGTCATAAGGTGCTAAATAAGGTAGACTGGAGTCATGGCCGTAGGTAGTGGCTCCAAGTCCGAACATAAGGTTGTAAATAAGGAAGTATGGTCTTAGCCTTGTAATTATGTTATGAGCTATGAATGAAGACAGATAGGGTAATGAATTGTTACTCGTGAATTTATTTAATGACTGTTATGTGGTATTATGTTGTATACTTGTGTGCATGAAATTGTATGGAATTATGAGCTAGTGGGTTCGTCTATGTGCGTAGTCGAATGTTAGATAGATTCCACTCAGCTTCAATGCTGAGCGTGTAGCCCTTTTCCTATTTGCTACACGTAGGTAACAGGAACAATGAATAATGAGACGGTCTTGGAGGCAGCAAGGGCGAAGAGATGGATGGATGCTAGCTGGAGGAGTTATCTGATTTAATACTTAAGTTTAAATTGATTATGTTTTTAAGGGCAAGAACCCAAAGTTGTATTTTGATTAAATACTTAAAGGCTTCCGCACCGTTTTGTGAACTCCGATGGATATTTAAATAATATTTTGAATTAAATGTTTTAAATTGTTTTGAAAAATTATTGTGTCTGAATGCCAATCTAGTAGCAACCCGATCCGCTGGTCCTTGTATTCGGGTCACGCGGGTTGGGGTGTTACAATTTGGGCCGCAACTTGTTATGAGGTTTGGAAAGCTAGAAACAAGAAGATGCATCGGAAGTTAAACACCACAGTGACGGAAGCAGCCGATAATATTTGGTTCTCTACTTAATGTTAAATGAATAAAAAATTGAACACCAAAACTAGGAGATAAACCTGCAAGAGTAGTAGTTCAGGTAGAGATTGTATTTGGAATGTGATGTATGCTTCTGATGATTAATAAAATGTGCATTGTGTTCAAAAAAAAAGTTCCTTGTAGCCCATGCATTGATTTTGATGGTTATTTTCTCCACTAACTTTTCACATTCTTTAGAACTAATCCTGGAAGAAGTGATTGGTCCCCCAAGGTAAGTAAAAGGAAACTTACCCTTATTCATATTAGCAATGTGCAGCAACTTAGCTTCCTCTGTAGCATTGACACCCCCAAAGATGATTTCATATTTTGTATGGTTGATGCTCAACCCAGTGGTATCATTAAAATCCTTTAAGGCCTTTATTACACACCTGATTGTAGATTCCTCTACCTTACACCCACAATGAGATCATCAACAAACACAATATTTATTATTTTGAGATCTTTGCACACAGGATGATACCCAAACTTCTCCTTAGAGGCAAACCACATGAGGGATCTAGTGAGATATTCCATAACAATCACAAAGAGCAAGGGGGAAACAGGGTCCCCTTGCCTTATTCCTTTGCCACCTCTGAAGAATCCATAGCTCTCCCCTGCATAGTGAATTGAATATGTTGTCGTGGTGATAACTAAGGTTTGGGTTAGTATTTTTTATTCTTTTTTTCGGTATTTTTAGTATTTAATTGTTTAATTTTCATTTGTTTAGCTTAGTTTTATTTTAATTCTCATATTTACAATCTTTTAATTTTCTTTCAAAAATAGTACTCCGTAGCTTTTTAATCATTTTTACATTTTATTTTCTTCATTTTATTATTTTTCCTAACCCAAAATTATCAGATATTTTATTTTTTGGAGAAAAATCTAGCAGCCGAAGACCAAAAATGCAGTTCATGTTTGAAAAGAAGATATTAATTTTGGGCTAGAGCCCAAATTCATCATCAAATAAGAAGTCCAGGCGGTGTCCTCTTAAGATGTACGCACAATGCAGCTTTCTTCTAACTCACTTCTGTAAACCCATCATTATCTGGGGGGGCTAGTTGGCTGTTCCTGCTCTCCACCTATTATTTGAATATATTCCTTTCTTCTCCCTTCTGCTCCATCATCATCATCCCCAGAGGGAGGGTTATCCTCCTTCACAGGTTTTCTAATTGCACTCCCAACCTTACTTAGCCCTAAGAGACTCCAATACTTCATCTCCAGTTCAGGAAACTGCACCCATATAGGTATATCCTTACGTTCATGAATATTCACCCTACAACCAGGATACCACATCTGCACATATACTGGTTTATTGTCCATAAAGTAATACGATCTCTTAATCACTTCATCCATGTCTTCCACTTTCCCAAACCTAACTATGAACTGTCCTTCCTTCATGAATGATATGTCCTCATTACTATAAGACTTCCAGATTCTAGATAGAAATCCCTTGACAATTTCAATTGGGGGATTAGCTCCTAGTATGCAACAAACAAGGGCTGAGTCCCATTAATTACCTAGATCGATCACATCTTCTTTATAAAGGAAAACAACCTGTTCCCCCTCAATTTCTTCCATTGGAACATATGTGAGGTCATATCTAAGATCCTCTTGAATTCCAACCACTTTAGCAAAGCTCTTCCTTGGAACTTCGTCAGATCCGATCTCCACAGACGACGTCTTATCCAAAATCGATTGATCATCAACCTGATTTTCTAATTTATCACCTTCAGATACGAAAGGATTTTCCTTAGAACATGACGGTGAATCTGTTTCAGAGTCTTTTTCTCCAGCAATTTTTCCGGTCACTTTTGGTGGTATGGCAATCTAATCAACTAGATTGGTTTATGTTATATGTTATAATCGGTTCGGTTTGGATAGGACTGGTTAAATTTCGGTTCGGATTTGATTCGGTTCGATACATTTTTTGGTTCAGTTCGGTTTCGAATCGGTTCAGATACGGTTCGGTTATAAATTGGTTCGGATAGATTTCGGTTCGGATATATTTCGGTTTCGGGTCTAGTTCGGTTCGGATATATTTCGGTTTTGGATCAAATATATTTTGGATATATATTATTTTCTAATTGAAATTTAACTATCCATATTTCTTTTTATGTTTTATCACATTTATCTATCATCAATTCAAAACCTCATATTATTTTATATATTTTTCTAATTATATTATCTCTAACCTAAATAATCTTCCCTTTTTTATTTTTTAGTCATATTTTACAAATTTGGACTATAAATTGTGAAAACATATATATTTAATTATTATATAAATTTAATATAATTAAATTGATTTTAAAATTTAGTTTTGAAATATCAAACTTTTCTCACAACTACTAATATACTTATGTTTATAAATGAAAAGATAAGAGATAAATTCAAATAGCTAATGTTATGTTCCATTTGAATATAATTTGGTAAAAATTTGAGTAAGATTGGGTGAAATTAATTGAATTTTATTCAATTGAGTGCAAAATTTATAAATTATTGAGTGTATTTTGTTGAAACTAGATTAAATAAAATTTAATAGAGTCAAATATAATTAATTTTACACTTAAATGTAATGGTGAAAATCAAATTTGAAAATGATAACACTAAATGTTGTCGCTAGAGAGTCTTTTCAAAATCCTAACACTAGCATCTAATTTTATTGACTAATATTGAGTGAATTGGTTTGAAACTAATCAAATTAACTCGCAAATCAATAAAATTTATTATAATGGGATCGAATCAGGATAAAATCTAGTTATTCCATACAATTCATCATATAATTCTTTCGTCTCAAAAGAAATATCACACTTCACTATTTAAAAATTATGGAAATTTTATTTGTTTGTGCGTTATCATTTATATGTATAACTTATCTTTAATTTCTACATATAATAAATTTAAGGCATGAAATTTTTTACTTTTTTCAAGAAGATAATCTATTTTATGAGGAAATGAGCAAGTAATGTAATTAGTTCAAATGTTAAAATAAAAGTAAAAATTTAAAAATATAATATGCTTATTGAAAGGAAAACATAGTTCCAAATTTATCGAAGTAGGTTCTAACCAGTTTCGGATCTAATCAGTTTCGGGTTTTATCGGTTTCAGGTATTATCGATTTCGGATCTAATCGGTTTCGAGTTTAATCGGTTCGGATATTATCGGTTTCAGATTTAAATCGGATATGAATTATTTAGTTCGGTTTCGGTTCGATTTGGATCATTTCGGGTTTTCGGTTATAGAGCGGATCTTAATTTTTCAGGTCATTTTGGTTTCGGTTTCGGATATTTCGGTTCACGTAATCGGTTCCGGTTCTGTTTTGCCAGGTCTAGTCGTCCCCTCTTTCCCAAGGCTAGAGAGAGAAACCTCTTTGACAAAATTACTATTATTATTACTATTATTATGATTATAATTATTATTACGGAGTACTATTTTTATTACTACAATTATTATTACTATTATTATTATTACTATTAATATCAGTATTAATATTAATATTATTATTATTGATAATATTATTACTACTACTATTATTACTACTATTATTAATATTATTATGATTATGATTATAATTATTTTTACTATTGTTATTATTACTATTTATTTTACTATTACTACTACAATTATTATTACTTATATTTCCATTATTATTACTATTAATATTTCGATTATTATTAATTTTATTATTATTACTAGTATTATTATAGTTATTATTATTACTATTCTTATTCTTATTCTTATTATTTATATTATTATTATTACTATTATTATTAATTTCTCTTTTATTATTATAACTATCATAATAGTAATTTAAATTTAAATTAAATTTATATCAAATTAGATTTAATCAGATCAGATCTAATCAGATGGGATCAGATTCAATCAGATCAGATCAGATTAGAACTAAAACAAATTAAGTCAGATCAGACAAGATCAGGTGAACGGAACGCAACTATAATTGAGAAGAAATAAATCTTTCGAGAATTATGTATGTAGTATGTAATCAAACTAATCTCTGGTACATTTTCAATTTCTTGGCTTTCTTTAGCAATCGCAAGGCTCTTCTGCAAACTTCAATCGCAGGATGAGTTTGGGAGGGAGCGGATGTGCATTTAAAATAAAAGGACACATCAGTTACAAAGCATTTCATATTTACGATTAACTTATAAACAGAAGGAGTGTATGTGTAGGAAGCTTGCAACTATTGGAGTATGGTGCGATTTTAAAAATATAGGGGGTAGTATGCACTTTCAAAGTACCATAGGGGGGTTCTGCGCACTTATCTTCATTGTAAAATGGGTTGCTATACCACTAATCCCACTATTGACATGGTAAAAAATGATTTTAACAAGCTACGTTTAGAGCATCAACAGCGGTGAGGGATGTGACTGCCTCGCCCTGCTAACAGTGGGTGGCAAACATTTTTGCCTTGGCTTGCGAGTGACCTGCGAGGCAAGCATTTTTATTCTTTTTTTAATTTTTTAATTTTTTAATTTTTTAATTTTTTATTTTGTACAAGAAAAAAGCTTTTTACTAGAGTATGTACATCTATTTTTTGTAAAAAAAGATAGTTAAAATATTTTTTAATTATTAATATACATAAAAGAGATTAAAAAGTATAAAAAACAATGACTTATCACTGCATGACATGCCACTCTACTCACTTGCCACACACTGACTAATAACTTGTTTTTGATTTGTTCAAATTTTCTACATCACCGTATGATATTCCATTTTTGCTTCACTATTGTACATGTTCTTAACAAGTATGGTTAGAGATGGTGTAAGGTTATATCTTACTCCTTCCGTTCTCAAAAATACTTCTTCTTTCAAAATTTTTCATTTCCAACAAAATACTTCCATTTTCTATTAAAAATTACTTTTAGCCTTACTTTTTCATACTCTATCTATCACATCATATTTTTTCTTTAATAATCTATTCTATCACATTTTACTTTTACACATCACATTAAAGAAAAAATTGGAAATCAACTACAGCTCAATACTTCCTCATTTTTATACTTGATCAAAATTAGAACTTTTTTTGAGTAAATTCCATAATTAGTATTTTATAACATGGGGGTTTCCCTATTTAGTTCTCTATTATCAAATACTCCGTATTACTCCAATGGTCCTTCTTTTATGGGTATCTTTCCACAAATAGTCTTTTTTTGATCTTCTATCTTGTTGGACTTAATTTGAAGGCTAAAAGTGTAATTTCACAATGATAATATATCCTTTTTGTCATACATAATTCTAAAGTTTTTTGCGTTTGCATCGATTGTGAATTACCTTCGCTTTCTACTACAACCATAGTCTACGAATGTGGTCTTTCGTCGTAATCCTAGTCCATAATCATAGCCATTATTTTTGTTTTATCCGCTTAACCAATATCAAAAAACATGTCACTAGACATAATGTTGATGTCAAATTATATTTTTAGCTTTTAAATTAGCATCACATGACGGAAGATCAAAAAAGACCATTTATGGAAAGGTACCCTTGAAAAAAAGACTACGAGGGTAATATTGGTAATATTTGATAATAAGAGAATAAATATGGAAAGAATTAAGCTTGGGGTACCCCATGTTGGTGTACCCCTAGCATTGCCCATATGGAAATATTAACAATGCTCCTAAATCATTTGGGGTATATGGTCTTTCACATCTTTAGGGGCTGTTTGGTAACTTCTGAATGGGTAAGTGCTGAACCAGTAAGAGGTCTGAACCATTAAGTGCTGAACCAGTAAGAGGTCTGAACCATTAAGAGCTAGTATATTGTTTAACTATTCAGAGGCAAATGTCTGATCAATTCAGATAAGAGCTCTTAACCATTCAGACTCTGTATAATATTTAACCATTTAGAGGCAAATCTCTTAACCATTCTGACATCTGAACCATTAAGAGGCTGAAACAAACAGTCTGAATCATTAAGTGCTGAATCAGACATCTGAATCATTAATTAACTGACAGCCCTAGGCAGGCAGAGCGACCATATGTTGTAATCCTGTATCCTCTCCAATGGCAAGGGCAAGGCTACCAGAATTGTTTAGAGCTTCTCCTGATAGAAAGTGCAACAATCAATCTCCTCCGGTTTGTGATCGCACTTCAATTATTTCTATTATTCTTCTGAAAACTGGCCCTAATTCCAGTCGGTTTGATCATAACCCCCTCTATCAATAATTATATAGTTCATCGAGGTAATCTGCCACCGCACCGACAAGCGATGGAGATTCGCAGCCGGGACGAAGGCCAAATTTTCCGTCATAATGATAAACAGCAAGCTTGATTCCAGACTTTGCCTCCTGCAACGCATATAGAAGCGGTCAAAGACGGAGAAGAGCCCGTCACCTTTGGCCCTAATTCAGTCCTCGTCAATTACGGCGATGGTTGGACTCTGCGGACCGCTTCTGATCCCAATTGTATGTCCTTTTCCTACTCAATTTTTTCCCCTTTTATTAAAGTTTATTACTCCGTATTTATTCAGTTATAGTGCTGGTGTTAGGGTTATAAAGGAACCAAACCTAATCGAATATTCATGAATATTTTTTGTATTTATTAGTTTTGGATGATATTTGTATTCTGATTTGGTTCAGTTATTCTTAGAGATTCGTATTTGATTCGTTTATCATACATAGAATATTCGGTTTGTTTAAAAATTCGTTCGTTTAAAATATTCAGTTCGTTTAAATTTTGAACTTATATCTAAATAGAACTCTAAAAAAGGGCTTGACATTGTGCAATGTCACACCTTGGCATGTGTTGGCATTCACAGTGTTTTTTGGCATTATATATTGACATCTTAGGCATTATGACTATTAAGTCCTCTTTTGGTATAAAAACATAGTCTATATAAATATCTGACTATGATTTTGGTTTGAAAACACTTTTCATCGTTCCTAATTTGGTCACTGAAGTTATTGTGTATTTGACATATCAAAATCAGACATTCAATATGTTTATACCAAAATAGGACTTATTATGCCAAATTATACCAAAATATAGTGCCAAAAATCACCATAAAATGCCAACTTACTATGCCAAATTGCAAGCATTTCATAGTGCAAACTCCCATTTAGGGGATAAAAACAAATGATGTCTTGTTTTGGTATAAGTTCCATGTTTTACTAGAGATGACATGACTATATTTTATTATTTTACCTAATCATAGATGATAATATGCAATGAAAGAGAAATAACTTTTATTGCGTGGATGGAAACTAATTTGTTTTGGAAGTTTAAGATAAATGTAATGAAATCATTTTTGTATTAATATAAAATTCAGATTTTATTTAATTGATGATCAAAGATCGCTCAATTTGAATGAAAAATACTCCGTATCAAACTAGACAAACTCTGGATGGAGGTAGTATGTTTTTATATGTTTAGGCTATTTGATTTTTAATTTATCTTTACTTACATCAGTCTTGTGTATATCAAGTTCTACACCACATGCATTTTCACACAAAAGGTTTGTGTTCTCAGCTTTTGGCATACATATGTGTGTGCTTCATGTGTGTCCCCACATAGACTTCGCACAAACAACATTTGTGTGTGAAAACAAAAAAAAACTTGTTCATGTGTATAAAAAGGTATGGTGTATAACCTGGTGCGGGTAAACGGTAAAGCAGACATTTATCTTGTCTTATACGGAGTAGATATATAGGTACTTATACATGTGTGTGCATAATGAAAATTTGTAACTTTCACAAATATTCTAATTCTTAATAATTTATAAACAATGTCTGATTTGGAAACAAGATTTAGTAACAATGAGTACAGAAATTTCATGCTTCCAATCATTTTGTAAATACTCCATCCGTCTAAAAAAAGTCTCATACTTTCCTTTTTGGGTTGTCCCAAAATAATCTTCACACTTCTTTACTTTCTTTATGAAGTAAAGAATATGTGATTCACAACTCTTCTCTTTCTTCTAAACAAATTTCAAACATCCACTCTTTACTTTTCAACACTTTTCTTAAACACTTGAACTGTTTCAATTGATCTGAGAGAGATGGAGTACTTTTTGTTTCCGGAAACTGAAAATACTATTGTCAAACACATTCTGTTGTTAATGTTTTCAAAAGAAGTGAACAAAAACAGAAAACATTACATTACCTGGCTGCACAGACCACACCTTATAATTTTTCCCAGTAGAATTGTTTTGGAAAGTAATATGATGAGTAACTATAATGCTTTTTTTTACTAGGTTTTGGATGGGCTAAGAAGAACAAGTTGGTACTGATGGGACAAGCATATAATCTTGCAACCACGGTATGAATTTCACTATTTTCTTGATCTGTTATTGCCGTTGCTCTTGTTGATGATGTTATTTATGGCTATTACTACTAATCTTACCTTTGAAGATCTTAGTGTGATTTACTACCAATGTTAGTGAATAAATGAGACAGGTTAGGCCGTTAGAGATATATTAACGTGCTTGAATGATAACAAAGAACGACCAGGTAGAAACTAACTAGAGGAACCAATCAGGAAAAAAAATTAAAAAATAAATGTTGGTTTGAAATGGTTTTCCAACAATGCAACAACTTGAGTTCTAAATTATATACTTGGCAGAACTGTGGTTTCCTGAAAGGTCTATAGTTTGCAAGATTCTTTAGCTCTTTGTCATTTGAGGATTATTTGTGATAACTGATAATACGGAGTCCTTGACAATGACATATATTTCAAAATATTGGTGACTCCGCAGGGATCAGATAATCACCAAGTTAAGAAGACGACACCACAAGCTGCATCGTGGCCCTTATACACAGGAAAGATATTGCTCGCGTTCATATTTATATTTTCGTTGGGTGGGATTTTCACATGCATTCTGCAAAGCCTTCCGAAGCTAGTTTAGTTTAGTAAGATGAAGTAATGAAACGAATTAGGTGAAGATAGATAATTGTTATTCTTTCCCTCATGCATGCGTTGATTTATTTCAGTCACCACACCCTAGTGTGACTGCCTATGAGCATATATATCAGAAACATAGTACAGTATATGTTATATGATGCTTCATAATGTCTGAATTCATGCTAATAAACAATGTGTCTGAATTTATGCTAATAAACAATGTGTCTGAATTTATGCTAATAAACAATGTGTCGGTGTAATTAAATTTCATAAATGGTCTCTAATTAGATGTGATTTTTTTATACTTAGTTCCTAATTATAAAATATTACATAAATGGTCCTTAATTTTTGTAAAAACTACTCCATAATTGGTCCTTCAGAAACTATATGGTGGAAAAAATAGTCATATTTGGTCTAAAGGGTAATTTATAGAATAGTTTTTAAAAATTAAGGAACCCTTTATATAGTACTTGTATCTTAGAATGGATGACTAAATATAGAAAATTGTATTTTATTAGGGTTTGTTCATGGAATTTACTCCTTGATATATGTAGAAATAAATAAATAAAAGGGACATGGGAGCAGTAGATGTAGAAACTAATGGAGACATTCATGAAGTCGGTGGAAGGAATAGAATGAGCAATGAATAAAAATCATAGAAAGATACAAAATCAGTGGCTTTAGGGGATTGTTTTAGGGCTTGCTGAAGCAACACCCAAGGTTCTCAATCTGACCTCATCAAGGATGACTAACGGTAATTCTAGTGGTAATAGAATCATGTAAGCATTTAGTGAGTGTTTTTTATGTTTATAAGTTGGTCAAAATTGCTTATAAATTGTTTTTAATTTATAAGTCAGTTGATATACTTATTTTTAACCAAATTTTTTCGTTTCTGTTTTGACTAGATTATTTATAAAATTATCTATCATCATTTATGAATATTTCTAAATATATTACTTATCATTTAAATCATTTTACTTTCACGAAGGAATACTTAACTTATAAACAGTTTATAAATTCAAAATCATTTATAAGCAATAAGTCAATAAATACTTGTGAAGGAGAAATACTCTCTTAATAATCATGGTGGTGGCCACTCTTGTGGATTCACACCTAATCCCTAATCCCAATATGGAGTTCTAGAAAAAACCCTAGGACATTCGTTAGGCTATCTTTAACGCTTCTGCTCCTTTCAAAGCAGCAGTCACTCAGCGCCATATCAGCACTGATAACACTTATCATCTCACTTACTTTACACTTGTAGTGTGTTACATCCACTGCAATGATTACAGTTTTATTTTTAAAAAAAATTACTTATTTTTATTCAAATTAAATTCTATCTTTTATAAAATAATAATATAAAATAAGAAAAATATTTTCATCTTTGCTCAATTTTTATTATGTTGTGAAATTTTTTTTTGTTTTTGATTATTAATATTTTTTTGATTTTTTATATTATAACAATTAAATTCACCCAAATAAACAATTAATTCAAAAACTCATTAATTGCATGTATAAAAAAAGTACACGAAATAATTAAATTAAAAAGGTATGAAGTATATGAATTAAAAAAACAATACAAGTAACACTAATTTGAAATTTGATTTTTCCAAACATGATCTACTAAGGCCTTGTTTCGGAAGAATGTTTTCAATTAGTGCTAACGTTTTGGATAAAATATTAACGGTATAGATTAATTTAAAAAACGCTAACGCTAAAGGCTACCGTCAGATAAAGTTTTCAAAACACTAACGCTAATTTCTAACGCTGATGCCAAACGGGGCCTAAATTCGCTCTAAGGTGCTCTCAAAACAAATCCGCTCTGAGGTTCTTGTACATTTCTCTACTATGGGTTTGGGCGCGTTTTGAAATTCGTTCATCATCGGTGACCTCTCCAACGTTGTCATCACCCGGCTGGTAGCCTGCACAGATAGCTAATCTCTTGCCTTCTAAAATCATGTTATGTAAAATAATATTCCCTCGATCTTAATTTAAATGGCCTGTTTTGGTTTGCGATGTTTGACTGAAGATATTTTCAAATTATTTTAAATGAAAAATGGTATATAATTAAAAAATAAAAGTTACATATTTAAAAACTATATCAAAAGATCTACATAACTAATGGTGACATGACTATATTATTTTATCAAATGACCAACGGAAATAGGGATAGAACGTGAATGCTATTAAAGAAACAATTTAATCTGGGACGGAGAGAGTACATACATACATGGCATTTGATATTTCCTCTTTCTCCTACATTCATGTGGAATTAAATATAAGATGCCACAATTTCTTTAGCACACTGAAGGCACGTTCAATAGTTCGATATCCTGTAGCAAATTAAACTCTTTAGATTTTTTTTTTAAAAAATATACATTTCACTCTTGAGATTTCTTAAATTTTGATTTAAACATCTAACCATCTACTTTACGAAATGTTCATTCTTCCCATTTATAAAGAAAAACTTATCGTACAAGTACCAAGTTAGTTATAAGCTTCGGAGTATGATGTAACTATTCATCATCAACCAAAAAAGATGTACAATGGGAGTCATTACAAACAACTAACCCTTTATTTTTTGGTGTGATTCTCTTTCTCAAAATGACAATGGGAATCATTGCAAACAGCTAACCCTTTATTTTTGGCTAATTTAAACACAACTTTTTGCCAATTTTGATGTTTAGTAGAGTTAAAAAGTATTTAAATAACCATTTTCATAAATCACAAGTCAAAAGAGAGGTTAATCGGGCTAAAATTTTTGCTTATTTCTTACTTTAACCAAGTTTACAATTTTGTCTCAATTTTAATTTTTGTCCACTTCTTTCTTTAATGTTATTGCTCTTATAATAATATAATATTAGTTTATATTTTTTCAATCTAAAAACGCACAATGAACTAGTTTCTCTCCCTATACTAAGAACCGAACTGGATGAACTTATCCACAAATCTTGAGAAATAAATTTCCTACCACTCAAGCTAAGGGAAAAACTCTTAGCTTGTCCACTTCTATTTAAGGATAGTCATATTTTATTCCATAAAATAAACACCTAGAGTTTGTTTGATGAGCAAAGCGTGACTCATTATATAGTTCTAAAATATGAAAGAAATATTTTGAGTTTTTGAAATGAAAGTGTATCAAAAGAACTAAAATGATGATTATTAGTGATATGTGAGAGTAACCGGTAATAAAGGGTGCACATGTAACTGGTAACTCGTAGTCAGCGAAAATAGGTGGCCATCAGTTGATGATGATGGGTTGCCGGTTTGATAGAAACACAAAACTTTTATATTGGTATTTCTCAAAATTAAAAAATATCAAAATACTCCGAATTCACATTTTGGAAGAATTATAATACTGATAGGTAACAAATTTGAAGTTTGCTTATACTTTATCAAACATCACTTAAAGAATTTTGATATCTAAAAGAATATTTCTTAAAGCTCATTAAATACTTTGTATATCCTTAAAAATTTTTAGTGTCTGTTTGGTTTAACTTGTTTTTTTGCTTATCACTTATTTTTACTAAATTAGGTCTCATCAGACCATATGATATCTAATCAGATCAAGTTAGATCAAATTTGAACAGATCAAATCAAATAAGATCAGATCCATTCAGATCAGATTCAATTATATCATAACTAAACTTTTTATTGTAATTTATAAAACCCCAAAAAATGTTGAAAAATAATGTTAATATTTTTTCTATTGTTTTTACATTAATTAATGTTGCATGGAATATAATTTACTAATAATTATTAATTTAATATTATATACCATTAATTAATAATAATAGTAATGTTACATATGATTAAATAATACTCCGTATTTATTTTTATTATTATGATTATTATTAATAGTATTAATATCATTATTTAAGCAATCCTTATACTCTATCTCTTACAAATATAAGGAATGATTTTTGTGACATTTACATATAAAATATTATGTCGGAATGAGTTTTTAAACGAATATCACGACATCTAGATTTTTAATATTATTAGCAGGGAATATACAAAAGTTAGGGTATTAGTTTTGTTAAAAAGGTATCCGTATTTTCAAATACTTGGTTATTGTGAAATAGGGGTGGACATGGTCCGGTTTCGGTTCTGCCACCACCCCACCATGACATCGTAACCGTACCCGCCGTAGCCGGTTCTAGAACTAGCGGTTCTGTTTCTGGTAAGACAACTTCAGAAGTCAATTAGAATGTAAATGCTAGAACTGAACTCTTGTTCCACAACTACAGTTGAAACTAACATTGATAAAACATGTCTGGTTAGAGTTCTGAGTGACGGGAACATGTGTTCGTTTTGCTTCTACCATTCGAGAACACCGAACTCGTTATCGTTGTTTTCATCGTAGTCGCATAGAACGTCTTAGTGCATCGCAAGTTTTTGTGCGAACTTACAGTTGTACCACCTATACTTATCGACGAAGAGCTACGCTTACCTTTTTCGCCATGAGCCCACTGACTGTCACTTTAAAACCCTTTTTGTCTTTGGGGCAGGAAGAGCTGAGCTAATGTTTTTTCTGGTGGAGTACCATATAAAACTTGAAATTTTTTAAATAAGAACTCAAAAATATCAATAGTATTATTTCTTTCCTTTGTCCATTCTATTAAATTGTGATAAAATAACTATTTTCATCTAAAAAATAACTATAGTAATACTCCATGAGAATTTTAAAATTCTCAGTCTTAAGTGGATCACAAATAATGCCATTTTTAAAAATATTAGGAATATATAATGAATAAGCACACCATTTATCCCTTATAGGAGACACATAAGGCTACAAATGTGGATCAAATAGACTTTCACAAAAAACATGTAGCAATTGTAATACATTCAGAAAAAAATTTGTTTGGCGTAGGTTTATAAATATGCGAGAAAGTAAGAGTGTCATTATTAAAAATCTATAACACGTTGTTCAACTTTTCAACAAGAATAAATTCATTGAAATGGATAATATGATTAAGTTCATACCTAAGAAATGAAGCAAGTTTTTCTTTATATCACAGGATCTATGCAATCAACTTATATGTACTAATTCCATCTAATCGTAATGTCTTTAGCAAATATTATTAGTTTTTTATTTCTTAGATTTACAGTAAAAATTCCATGCATGAGAATGATTACGACTACCCCAAATTTATTTTAAACTAGCTTTAATATTGGTCAAAATTTCTCACCATAGCACATGA